AGCGTAAAAACAAACAAAGAGTTCAGCAGTGAAAGTAAATAAAGTTAAGAAACGAAGATTTATTTCTGAGCAGAGATTCAGCCTCAGGGTTCAGATTCATCGTCCTGTGAACTCCAACCAGTTAGACACTGGTGCTGATGAGTCCTGAGGATGAAAAGCGTCATCAGGCTGCAGGCGTGAGGACCTGGTCTAAATAAAACCAGCTGCCGTCCAACCGGTTCAACAGGCCGAGTCGGGTTTTATTTTTGTGTCGGTGAATATGAAACATGATTCCAGTTATGCAAAATACTTCAAACTTGTTCCTGGAAATGTTGCAGGAACTGATTCATATCTGACAAACTTCTGAGCCTGAAAGTCACAGCTGAGGGTTTAATACCAAATACATAGATACAGAACAATCCTGGTCCTGGAGGGCCACAGTCCTGCATGTTCTAGATGTGTCCCTCTTCCAACACACCTGATTCAAATGATCAGGATCGTTATCAGGCTTCTGCAGAGCTTGATGATGATGATAAATACATATATATTTTTTAACCATTATTTAATCCTTAATATACACATTTTTTTCTTTTACAGTAAATATCTGTAAAATAATAATAATTTTAGTTGATTTGAACTCAGTAAAACGCTGTCATTTTACTCTCACACAGTAAAAAAACAGCAAATTGCTATTTGTAAAAATACAGATTTTAAATGTGACATTATTACAGCTGTGGACAGTTTTTTTGTTTATATATTTTTTTAACAATGAACAAAAAAAATTATACTTTTTTGGTGATTTTGTCAGATATTATCTGTAATTTAAAAAATATTTACATGTATAATAATTTAATAATTTATAATTTTATAATTGTAAGAAAAAATATTTCACATTTAAATATATGATCTGTGGAACATCAGTGAGAAAACAGTTTTTTCCCCCTTAATATACTTTTTATTTCTTTCATACAACAGAAATTATCTGTCGATTAACAATATTTTAAGCAGAGTTAAAATTAAATTACTGTCTGTAAAACTACAGCTTGTTATTGTCACCATGTGATTATTTTTCTGTAATTTTTTTGGATATTTTTAATTATCTGTAATTAAAAAAATTATATTTAAATCCTTACTTTAAAACTGTTTTCTTTCAAATAACAGTAATTTTATTTTTATCAGTTATTATCTGTAATTTAACAAAACATTAAAAATAACGTTAAAATCACAGTTAAAACAACATTAATGTCTCAGTTTCGTGCCACACACATTAAACACTGTTTTTGCTGCTTCTGTATTTTCCTCTGATTCATGTCAGAAATCAGCGTCCTAATCTTTACTGCCTCGTATTCATCCATCAGTTTCTCCTCATCAGTTAAAACCTGTTTTACTCTTTTTGAGGTTTTCTGAAGCTGCTGCTCTGATTTATTCCCGTAAACTCTGGTTCCTCTGCTCGGGTTTCTTCAGCATGTGTGTCGTTTCTTTATTCACCGGAAACAGAAGCTGTTCTGTCTGATGCTCTGTTTTCAGTCTTTAAAAAGACAAACGAGCAGAAAAGCCTCGTTCAGGCTTTTAACAGGTGATTCATCATCAAGTTGTCGAATACAGAATAAAAAATGACTTTATTCTGAAAAGTTTCCCTAAAATGAGGTTATTTGTGGAACTAAAATCTCATAAAAACATATTTAAGGCTCTTCTGCAGCCTTAAAAGCTCCCTGAGATCATTAAAATGTGACGGTTTTAGCTTTTTATTTTAATTTTGGCCTTTTTTTAACGAGCAAATTCACACTTTTTCTCTATTTTTTAA